TGCCACGAATAGGTGAGTGTCTCTCGGCGGGGATTCCATCATGGTGGGCGGTGGGGTTTCTTTGGGAGCCGACACAGATTGGTGGAGTAGTTTAATACCCTGAATCGCGAGGAGCAGGGTGGGTTTTGCGGGGTCTTTCACCCCTGCTGGGCGGGTGGTGGGGTATCACTGCTGGTTTATGAAGATATTGGATTTGGTTACATATTCGTGCCGAGCAATCGTGGGTCTGGTTTCCATCTTTTTGTGACAGGGTTTGGTTTCTGTAGTTATCCGAGTCCTTTTTCGCCATTTGGGTAAACAGTTGTCGTAATTTGTTGCGATTCTTGTGTAGCGTTTTGCATGCGATGGAATGAAAGAGAGAGTGCCGCTCTGTAGAAACGCCATTATGGTGGGCAGTGGGGTTTCCTTGTGAGAAGGTGCAGATTAGTGGAAGTGGTTTTCTCTAAATCGCGAGGAGGTGGGTGGGTTTGTGGCATCTTTGACCCCTGCCGCGCGGGAGGTAGGGTATTACCGCTGAGACGTTGAATTTGGGTCAGATATTCATTTCATCTTAATAGGCTGCTGTCTGCTGTCATCTGAATTCTTAAGGAGAAGTGGTGAGCATTGCTTCACAGGGGCTTCGTCATGGAGGGAGGGGAAGCATCCGTTAGGGGGTGTATGCAGATTGAGGGAGAGGCTTACCCTAAATCGCGAGGAGGTGGGTGGATGGGTTTTGCGGGGCTTTTTAGCCCCTGCCGCGCGCCGCGCGGGTAGTAGGGTAATCCCCTGGTTAGTGAAAACAGCATCGTGGTGGGAGTTGGTGTTTTCGTAAAGAGGAGTGTGGGAGGTGCTATCCGCTTTGAATCGCTAGGAGGTGGGTGGGTTTGCGGGGTCTCTGTCAGCAGTTTGGGGGCTGTGGGCACAGACCCCTGCTGCACGGGTGGCAGGGCGGATTGGCAGGGATTGGTAATAACTCCGGATGAATGGTGGACATGATCACGCAGCGCTGACCGCTCGTTTCTTTTTTTGTGGTTTTGATTGGTTTTCTTCGGTAGTTCCTTTTTTGCACGTGGTTTCTTAATGGTTGGTGGGATTTTATAAATGTTGTTCGTTTAATGGTAGGTGGAATTTAGATCACTAAATTAGGGTTGATATGACTATTGTGATTAGAGTTTTTGGTGATGAACTTCAGATTTTGCTGATAAATTTCGTTGAATTTGAATTTTCAGTGGTAGGGGCTGTGGAGTTGGCTGCAGGGTGAAATTTAGTGGTACCCTCGATGTGACCCCTGATGAGCACCGATGCGGCGATCGGGCGAAACTAGGGTCATCTGCCGATGCTTGGCGATTTTCACGATTCTGGGCATGTTGCCCACTTCCGGTCCAAGCAGCTGCCATGTTTTTACCGATAATATCTTGTGGCAATTGTCATGTTCGGGAACTGACGTGTCTTGTCTTGCCTAGTGTTGTCAATCTCCATGCATGCTGTGGTTGTCCGATGTATGGTGATCTGCATGTGTCCGTGAGGGTTTTGACATGGTCGTCATGTTTGTCGTCAGCTTTGTGTCTGATTTGGTTTAGGTCCCTGTGGACCGATGGTTGCCCAGGCTAGATGCTTTGGAATACCGAACCTCAACGGTGATTCTTAGCCCACCGAGGGCTCCACCTAATTTTGTGAGGGACGTTCTTCAAAAAGAAAAAAGAAAAAAACTTTATCAAATTTTAAATTAAATAATCAATTATATATATATATTTTTTAATTTCTTTTTGGCCCAGGCCACTCTGGTGAGCACCCCAATTTTCAGATTTTTTCACGCATTCCTCTGAGCGTGAAAAATCACTGTCGTTGGAGTACTTTTTCTGTTGGCCCGCAAGAAAGGAAAATGCACCGAATTGGCATGGTGTGATTATTTTGTGGTCTTAAACCACAAGTACATGCCACCAGCCTTGCAGAAAAGTGAACTTGTTGCCACAAGGAAAATTTGGGGCTTGGGGACGGCCAGGTAGAGCTACGGGGTAGGAAGCAGCACATGGGCCCAACAAAGGATGAGAACGGACTGGAAGATTCCCTTCTGGTTTAAGGCCGTGCAGTTTCCACATGCCATTGGGCGGATGAGAGGTGAAAGGAAGAAAAAAAAAAAAAA